TGCTCTCAGGGTGTGGAACGGATGTTTCAGACTTTCCACCAAAGTTATATATGCTCGCGTCATTACAGCTCTTCCCCTGGCCTAAACTGCTGGCACAGTATCCTGAAATGTTTTTCATTAGTAAACTTTTCATAACCTCAGACTGTAATAAGCTGTACAGTAAAATCCATGAGGATGCCAGCTGGAGTTGGCACTTGGCAAAGGATTTTCAGAGCTGTTTGCTTAGCTGGATTTGAAGGATGTTCAGGACCGAGTAACAAGACATGTGACTGAGTTTTGACCTATATCACTGGCCAAGCTCCAGTGATATTACACTTGAATGCTAGTTAATGTGAATGCCCTGCATTTTGGATTACAAAATCTCTGCACTGGTTGCTTTCACACCTCATACACAACTTTTAATCATTTGTGTCTAAAACACAGCCTGGTGGCACTTGGTTATATAGGGCTAACTTGTAACAATGAGAAGAACAGGAGGACTTGTGGCACCTTAAATTTGTTAGTCTCTAAGGTGCCACAAGTCCTCCTGTTCTTCTTTTTGCGGATACAGACTAACACGGCTGCTACTCTGAAACCTTTCATTGTAACAATGAGACTCCAAAATGGTTAATTGCAAATTTAATCCTAAATGAATAGTTATTCTTCATGGGTAAGAGGAGTTCAAGTTTCCTTTCTATGGCTCGTAATCTACTTTTCACTCAGGACCTGATCCTATGCCCACTGAAATCAATAGTAAAGCTCCCATTAACGTCAGTGACACACATACCAGCAACGTTAATTAAGCATACATGAAGTGATACATACAACAAGGGACAACAGCTGGGAGAAAGTGACTAATGGGCAGTTGCATGCTCAGATGAGTGTCTAGGTGCCTAAATATCCACTTGGGTACACAGTTGCATACTTTATTTGCACAAATATGGCTGCAAGCAGGTGTGAGGATTTTTGCAACAGGCTCTCTGCCTTTCTTTTTTTAAATAGATGTTCAACATTTTACCTCTGCTGAATATTATTTTATTACTTGTATTGCTGTCAAGCCTAAGTGCCCCAGTTGAGATTTGATACTGTACATACGCTGGAACTGTACATAAACATAGTAAGACAGTCTTGGCCCTAGAAGTTTACAATCCGAACTGATTAGACAGACTCAGAGTGGGATTATTGTCACCATTTTGCAGATGGAAACTGAGGCAGAGAGACTGAGTGACTTGACTAAGGTCACAGAAGGAGTCTGTGGTAGAGCTGGGAACTGACCAATGTCTTGGCTCCCAATCCAGTGGCTTAATCATAAACCCATCCCTTCTTGGCACCAGTTTTTTAGGCACTCGATAGAAGACGGGAGCCAGTATTTTTACTGCCTTTCAGTGAGCACCCCAGGAGGCATCACTTTTACCCTTTGCCCGTAGCAACAGAAAGGGTTAATTCATGGCTGAGCAGAAGGAACACACTTGGGTGAAATTCCTTTACCCTTTCTTGATACTGTCCATGGAGGAAGTAAATAAGTCTTTATCTGAAAATTGAGAAAAAGCAGAAAATCAAATCTATCATTTTAAATATGTGGATTTTCAGCCAAGCTTTTATTTGTACATTTGTTTATACAGGGTTGAGGTGTGTGGTTCATTCTCCCATCTTTTCTTTTCTTTTCTTTTCTTTTCTTTTCTTTTCTTAAATCTATTTTCCCAAAATGGAAAATATGCAACTCTAAGTGGCTTTTGTGATGCTGGACTCCAAGCTGTTTGAATTAAATCTGAATTCTGCTGGGGCTTGAACCTTCCTGATTGTTTGTCACTAGCAGGGTTTGTTACATTTCAGGTGATACTATTAATTCCAGACCCTTCCCCCCCCCACCCCCCGATACTTAATGTAAAGAGTAGAAGACCAGATCTGTATCCCTAAAGACATTCCAATTTACCAACATGGTAATGTAAGTTGCCCTTACAAGGACAGTGAGATGTATTTATTTTTGTGGTATAGTTTATAATTTGTTTCCACTTTCCAGAATACCTTTTAGGAGCTGGAACATAAACACTTTCCCTGTTGATTTAGATCTTCTTTTCTATTTAGCAAACATTGATTTTATTTTCCTCCCCAGTGTTTTGTATGCAGCTGAAATTAACACACCTCTTTTCGTTTAGCAGCAACTTCAATTTGCACAGGGCCTGAGCCAGTGACTACCATAGAAGTTGGATCAGGCTCAGAGCTGTCCCCTGTCTTTGCCGGCATCAATCGTTGCTGCCACACAAAGCTCAGCGAAGGAAGTTTGTTACTGAAACACATCTGCAGGGTCAGCAGAGGGAGCACAATGCAGTTTTGTGGCTTCCGCATAAAAAAGGTGTGATCCTGCAAAAGCTGCCAATCACACGTCTTGCTACTATGCCATTTCAACGGGACCACGTGTTATAGGAAGCACTACCCTTGGTAGCAAGTGTTTTGCAGCAGTGAGCACTGGTCATGGTTTTGGAGCCGGGTTTTGTAAATCTGTTTCATTTTATAGAGCTAAAATCTAGAGGATTTACTAGAGATTGTGAACAAATTTAGGGGGAATTCCATCTCTGTGTACAGGGCAATGCCGGAGTTGTGCCCCACTTGAATTCTGTTTTGTGCTGTCCTTCTGCACAGGGGGGAACTTCACCTCTCCAGAATAACAGAGTTGGTCTTGAAACATTCATCTTACTTTGCCTATTTAAAAAATATCCAATGCTTAGCCTGCAACGAGGACTGAACCCTGCATTTCTGGCATGCGCAGCCCCAGTCTCTGATGGGTTTCATGGAGAGTTGGGGGCACAAAGAATGTAAGGTCAGGCCCATTTTAACTAAAATTCTTCTCTCTTCCACACCTTGGATCTCTATTTCAAATTCTTCAATGCATCTCTGCTACAAAGTTACCCTGCGGAACTCATTGCCACAAGATATCAGTGAGGCCAAGAGCTGACCCAGGGAAAGGCTCTCCTAATTGCCCACTGCAGGGTTCCATGCACCTTCTTCTGAAACATCTGGCCTTTGTCAGACGGGGGTCACTATATTGGATGGACCACTGTGGCAATCCTTACAGCGTTAATAGGTGCTCCATGCTTGGAATGGTGGCAGATTTTGTAGTAGAGACCAATATTTTAGATCAAAGATGTGCAGTGAAAATTGGAGAGGAGGACTTTGTCCATCTGGTGCTCACAAAAATGAGTTCAAAATGCTGCCAAAGTGTCTGAAATCTGAGTATGCAGAAAATCATGCATTGAATGTTTTACGTTTTTTAAAAAAACCCTAAAAACCAAACCCCCAGGATTTTAAACAAACACAGTCAAATGAATCAGCACGAAGATGTAAAATCATCAGGGAAGGCAGTGTTTGTTTTTACACGGGGGTTATTGGAAATGTTAGGGGTGCATGGTAACAATTTGTAGCTGATATGTTTTGAAATATCATAACTGGTGTCAATAAACACATTAAAATTTAACTTCAAAGAATGTTGTGGGTGTCTGGAGTGTGCTGAAGACATTGCACAATAGGGATTTACATTGAAACAAGTATGGAAGCAATCAAACACCTCCCCTCAGAGAGGAAAGGGATCTTGCAGGGTTGTTAGAGCGAAGAATCTGTGATTGTGATCACTGCTTCTGATTGGCTAAGACTTGTTCAATCCTGTTATTTTCATTACGCTGTCTGAGGGAAGGCTGCTGGCGACCAGCTTTCCTCACCCGCTTGCCCACCATGCATTGTGTTGCTTCCCCCTTTGCTCCGCTCTCTCACATCCAGTTTCTCCTAGTGGAGACGCCCTCACTCTGTAAGAAAACACCCATGTCTGTCTGTTCATCTCCCCGGAAACGCTCACTTCAGCTGCCCTAGGATGTGCAAATCCACAGACTCCACACAGGCACGGTGTGCACAGGTCCCATGTTCGCACTGGGGAGGTGGGACTAGAATTCTGGTCTTTCAACTGCATAAACCACAGGCCTCTAGCACTTGACCTAAAAGAGATCTCCCTTTGCCAGCAGTAGTAATAGGTCCTTTATATTATCTGGGATAGCCACTAGAGAGCAACATGATTTCATACACAACATGACTGCTCTGTCTGCCGTAAGCTATATCTTCTCCATCATTGCGTGCCTCTTGCTCATTATTTCTTTTATTTTCTCCTTTTTAATTCATTGAATGGCGCTAATGTCTGGAAGCATTCTCTCAAATTGCAACTCCAGACGTCAGCTACGAATTTTCTGTCCAAATATCAAAGGGATGCTGCAAAATCCTCGTTTGAGACACAGGCACAGAATGTACTCTGCTCCCTTGGCATGGTGTCTTCATGTCTATGGTTACATCCTTCTAAAGAAGAGCAAAGCATATTTGCCCTGGCAATTGACTCGGTGCTGTAGGAGCATGCAATGGTTAACAAGGAAGGTCCATCATGAAAAAAAGGCACCGAAATATGTTTTCTTTGAAGCTTCACTGAAATCTAAAAGTTGCAGCTTAATCCATTTTGAAAGCCGTATCAATCATCCTGTCGTGCAACACACTATCACAGATGTGAAATATAAAAACGAGCTAGCCCAGCCAGCGAACACAGGGCCCAGTCTCCCCATCCATAAAAGCAAACATGGAAACTATAATTCACACAAATAATAAACATTTAATAGGGTATTCATGAGAAGAAAGGGAGGGAAAGGGACCCTGACACACTGGCACTTGTGTCTTGCCCGACAAAGCTCATTTGTTATTTGGGAGAGAAATTAACACCAATTCATCAAGCCACTTGTCAAGTTGATGATGGATCTGTCACTTCTTGCTTGGAGCAACGTGTCTGAGATTTTTTGTAAGCACTGTGTTAGACTGTAAAATGTGATTGCTTGTAGAAATTTGAGGAAGTACCAGAGTTGGAATGGGTTTGGTTAGTGACAAAATTCCTTGTCCCAGTCCTCTTTCAATGAAATCCCAGGGAGCTTTGCCGGTGACTTCTGCAGGACCAGGATTTAACCTAGGGTATGCTGCTGGCAGTCTTGTGACTAACAATAATGTGCCCTGAGCACATGGCATGTTCTGAGCATCTCTCTGATGCAAGGTTAGCATTTCAGAGGTTCCAGTTGTATTGATCTCTGTATAAACAATGTACAGTTATATTATAATGATGCTATGTAAACCTTATGCCCTCCCATGGGGCAGATTCAGCTAAAACGGACCATCATCATCTAGTCTGACCTCCTGTATGACATGGGCCATAGGACTTCCTTGAACTAATTTCTGTTTGAATTAGAGCCCATCTTTTTAGGAAAAAAACATCCTAATTCCCAGTGATAGAGGATCTATCACAACTCTTGGTAAAATGTTCCAGTGGTTAATTACCCTTGCTGGTAACAATTTGCACCTTATTTCTAGGTTGAATTTGTCTAGCTTCCTCTTCCAGCCTTCCAATATTTTGCTCAGTCTGGATTATCTTCAAGGAAGATTCAGATGAGAACAAAGAGATCCACGTAAGCTTAAAGAAAATGAGTAGACAGTGGGATAATAACACGGAGAAGAGTTGGGAGAATTGATAATGTATTTAAATGTCTGATGGAATAAAACTGAACACCAGGTTTTAACCTCAGGTATAAATCGAAAGGGGAACTAATAAAAATGAAACAGTGCTGCATGCTTAACCTGTGGAACTCACTGCTGCAGGAATCCAGCATAAAAACAGTATGTCTGGATTTTATTCTACTAAAGTATGGGTAATTTAATTATCGTCTACCATGTTGGTAGCTACCCTGTCTTAAACAGTATTAAAAGGACACTTACTCCTCATGCTTCAGGCTATCAGCTGATCATTAGAGCTGTGCAAATTCTGCTAAGAGTCCCTAGCAATTCCAGATCATAAGAGTTTGTTCCACTTTCTTTTCCCCTAACAAGGGCTCACATCCCTCCAGCCCAGTTCCATAATGACTTGAATGCTGGGCCAGCTGCTAAACAATACATCATTTATATAAATTCTCTTTCTTAGGTACTTAGATGGCCCCCATCACTATAGTATCTGAGTGCATCCCAATCTTTAATGTATTTATCCCCATAACACCCCTGTGATGTAGGGAAATGCTATTAACCCCATTTTATAGCTGGAGAACTGAGGCACAGATAGGTTAAGTGTCTTTCCCAAGGTCACACAGCAAGAAATTGAATCCTTGTCTTCCAAGTCTTACTCTAGGGCTCTAACCAGTGGATCCTTCCTCTCTATTTGGTAGCAGCTAGAGGCTCTAGATCAGAGGCCTTATTGTCCATGGTACTGCACAATCTGCATCGTGGGCACTCAGTGATGTCATGAGGGTTCACTAGGTTTAAGTCAGCACAGGACTTCCTTCACACACCCCACTGTTTTACCTTGAAATGCCAAATCTTCAAGTGAAACTCACTCCATAAGTTTTGTATGGCTTCCAAACTCAGAATCCGGCCTGAATTCTGGGTTTCCCACCAGAGAGATGTTTAGCTAGCTGGGGGCGGGGAGAAAGCATTTCTGGGCGGGTGAAATGGTCAAAGCACAAAGCTGTGTACGGTGTTTTCAGTTGAAACCGTATGCTCAGCACTTCTCAAATAAAATAAGCAAGAATGCCCAATAAGTAGCATGTTTAACTTTTTTGTGAATTGTGCCCTTTCACTTATAAAATCCAATGTCTGTTGATATGAGTTTGGCACCATTTATGAGGTATCTGCAGAAATTTTGTAGAATACACATATTAAAATATTTCCAATGATTTTTTGTCTTGGGTGCCAGTTCATTACCAAAAAGAAGAACATGAGTACTTGTGGCACCTTAGAGACTAACAAATTTATTAGAGCATAAGCTTTCGTGGACTACAGCCCACTTCTTCATTATCAGTTGCTTGTTCTTCAGTGGCCTGTGTGAAAGGAAACTGGTGATCTCACCTATTTCTGGTGGGCAAATATTTCCCCGACAATTGACAGCAGTTGGCAGACTTGCAGGACCATGAAGAAAGAACTAACTTTTCACTCCTAAATATGGTCCTGCCAGGTCAGGTTTGAACACATTGTCAAGGGGGCATAAGGAAACTTTTGTTGCCCCATGTTGTACCTGTTCTGAGTAGAGGTCTTCAGTCTCCAATACTTCCAATTGACAGGAGCAGCATATTCACACACATTGTTACAAACACAATAGTAAGAAAGTTAAGGGTAATTCATGCATGACCTTGTTATGGTGATTTACAAGGGAGAGCCAATGTTGGGTCCAGATGGGCGTTCCAACCTCTCAGCCTAACTACTGTTTTATAATTGCAGTCAAAATTCCCTTGTTTAAATAATAAACATTATGTTCTATACTGAATACTTCACTGTAAACGGCACACAGAACATGCTGAACTAAATAGGGCTTCTATTGCGATGAATATAACAACCTCTTAAATGATTAGGACACCTGTTGACATTAATATAGAAGTGCACATGGAAATAAATGTGCCGCACATTGAAATATATGTACACAAATATTTAGAGGATTAGAGAAATTGCGAAAATGGATAGAGCAGCATTTAACACGAACATGTGTGGAATCTAGGCTGAAATGGAAAGAACATGCATGGAGTTGATCACTTATCAGATGTTACTTTTTTGGTTTTGGTGAGTTTTTTTAAGTTCACTTGGGGCAGAAAAGTCCCTGCACTAACGGTCATGGATTTATATATTAAGTAGAGATTTTAAATATATCTCTTTGGAATCTGCCTCTGATTCATAACCACCTTCATTTAATAGCTGGCACCTTTGCCGGGCAAGCTGCAAAAGAAAGTAATTAAATTTAATAGAAGCCACCTTCGCTTTGAAGCTGCCCTAGATTTAAAGCCATGGAGAGAAGCAATTAAATTGCAACAGCCATGGATTCGAAACTAAGTTATATGGTAATTTTTGTTAACGGAAATTTTCACTGTAACTGGGATTGGGTTGTCAGACCTGATTGTGTTCAGAAGTATATTCCAAAATTAATGACAGAAATCTTCCTCTGGAAACCTTTTCTTGAATCAAAAATACAATTTAAAAAGAAAGCAAAAAGAAAAAAATAGGTGTAAAACTGAGGTCAAATGTCACAGAGAGAATATTTCAAAACTTTTGGAGCATTGATTCTCCCCTGGAATGTGCTATAATTATAAAGGCTAAGAAGGGAAGAAGGATGTTTGTTTGCAAGCAGGCGTATATGCCAGCAGCACAATAGGTAGGTTCATTTAGGAAAGGTGCTTTTTTTTCAATGGAGAGTGTTAGAAACTTCATTTAAAGAAAGCTAGTCTCCTGAAAACAGCAAAATCTGCAACAATGACCTGTTTGTTTTTCACTTCCATGGTTTTTTGCAGGTAAGGTAGAGCTTTGAAAGTAAGTAACAGCAAAGACTGACGAGAAACAGAATGCCATAACCAGTACCAAATGTAGCCCCATTCCATTTAAAAATTATATTTTTTAAGAGTTCTGCATGTAGGATTGAAAAGAATTAAATGAAAAGGTTCTGTTTTTGGTTCGGGCCCTGTTCAGAAATCAAACAGGCAAATGCAGTTCGATCCCCCACGAAAGCGAAGTTGTTCCCATCTTCAACAGCTGTCGGCAATATTTGCAGATTATTAGTTAAGGTGTGGGTGCACGTGAGAAGTTTAATTATTTTCAAGCAGGCACTTTGCAAGCAGGTTCCAAAGAGATTCTTAAATAGCTCACAGTCCATAAATGAGTCCATATGGAACGTATGAAAAAAAGCTAGTAAACTGTATATTCATAACGGAATAGTTCTTACAGTGTCACCAGCCACTGGAGAAAACCTGGTAGGAATAATACAGGTGGGGAAAAAAGCATTGGGTGTTAGTTGTTGGTGAGGCATTACGAACATTTGTGCTTTGCTGTAAACAGTTGATTATTTTTATTTGTATTTGGTAGCACCAAGAGGCTCCAGCCAGGATCAGGTCAAATCAAGACATGCCTTTCTGTAAGAGACGCTTAAGTCAAACACAGATTATTGGGTTCAGTAAATGGCTGAAATGTGCTGGCCTGTGTTATATAATGGTCCCTTCTGGCCTGATACTCTGAATCTAGGAATCTAAGGGTACATCTACACTACAGGGGGGAGTCGATTTAAGATACGCAAATTCAGCTACGTGAATAGCGTAGCTGAATTCGACGTATTGCAGCCGACTTACCCCGTTGTGAGGACGGCGGCAAAATCGACTTCTGCGGCTTTCTGTCGGCGGCGCTTACTACCACCTCCACTGGTGGAGTAAGAGCGCCGATTCGGGGATCGATTGTCGCGTCCCGACGGGAAGCGATAAATCGATCCCCGAGAGGTCGATTTCTACCCGCCGATTCAGGCGGGTAGTATAGACCTAGCCTAAGCAAGCCTTTTTTCAGGGATTTATCTGAGATCAGCAATCAAGTCTGTAAGGTCCTGACAGCTGACTCTTCAGCAAAACCATTATTACTTCATTGGTCCATTGTTAGGTACTTGAGAGCAGAAATGGCAAACTGCAAATTCCTCAAAAAACTGCCTTGGCGTTCGTCAGTAGCATAACTGCCTTGTTGATAACATGGGCGAATGAGAGGACTCTGCCATATATGACATCAGCAATCTAGAACATTTAGTATCAAACGTTCTGCTTGCATTAAATCTCCCCAAAGCAGCTTTCCGGTGGGCAGCAAATATTTCAAAGAATGTTTGACTCTAAAATTTTAGATATCCCAGCTGTGATATTTGACAACGGATCTGGATTATGCAAGGCTGGTATTGCAGGGGACAGTGCGCCAAGGTCAGTTATTACAGCAATTGTTGGTCGCTCGAAAGCCAAAGCAACGATGCTAGGAGCAGGACAGAAGGAATTTTATGTTGGAGAAGAAGCCCAGTCCAAAAGGGGTGTCTTAAGTTTGAATTATCCAATCGACCACGGCATAGTTACATCCTGGGATGACATGGAGAGGATCTGGAGACACGTCTACGAGTGTGAGCTGAGAATCAAAGCTAGCGACAGGCCGGTGCTACTGACGGAGGCCCCACTCAATCCCTTACAGAACCGGGAAAAAATGACTGAGATCATGTTTGAAGGCTTTAAGGTGCCTGCTATGTATGTTGCAGTGCAGGCAACGCTGGCACTCTATGCCTCAGCACGCACCACAGGGATAGTAATGGACAGTGGAGATGGAGTTACCCACACCGTACCCATCTACGAAGGATACTGTTTACCCCATGCAGTTTCCAGGCTGGATATCGCAGGCAGGGATATCACTGAATACTTCATGAGACTCCTTTTGGAAAGTGGCCACTCCTTCGTGAGCACCGCTGAGAGGGAGATCGTGAAAGATATCAAGGAGAAGCTGTGCTATGTGGCTTTAGATCCCGTCAAAGAAACGAAAGCAAAGCCAGAAGAAATCCTCAAAGAATACAAACTGCCTGATGGAAATATCATTAAGATAGGCAATCAGCTCTTTCGAGCCCCGGAGACCCTTTTTATGCCCGCTAACATTGGTATCGAAGCCCCTGGGGTGCACAAAATGATCTTCAACAGTGTGATGAAATGTGACATTGATGTTCGCAGGGATCTTTACGACAATGTGCTTCTTTCTGGTGGGTCCACCCTATTTCCTGGACTGGATGAACGGATCCTGAGGGAGATGCAGCGGCAAGTGCCCATCGGGATGGCCGTACGGGTCATAGCACCGCCCGAGAGGAAGTACTGTGTGTGGATCGGGGCCTCCATCCTCACTTGCTTGTCAGCTTTTAAAGAAATGTGGGTCACCGTCAGTGATTACAAAGAGTTTGGTGCTGCTGTAGTACACAGAAAATGCTTTTAAGGAGAGACTACGCAACTGAACCATGGTCTCATTCGAATAAACAGTGCTCAAGAAATGCTCCCAAGATGTGAACCAGAAGATGCTACAGCGGTTTGTGTATTTATTGGATGACCAAACATTACAGAAAATAAAACATTAGAAACAGACCATCTTGTTCAGAATGGCTGTTAGGTGTCTTATTTTCCTATCACCCTCAAAGGGTGCTCAGTGTCTTGCTTCCACGTCTTCACATCTTCATTTGCACTTGTCATCCTTCTGGTCTCTACTCAGTATTGGCTGGGACTCCCTTCGGAGGCCTGGATGTTGTTCCTTAGCAGGCCAGAGGGGTCACCCTAAAGCAGTCAGAGCCATTCTTTTTCACCACTGGCTGAATACTGTAGCCCCAGCATGCTCTTCCTCCTACCACCAGGCGTTAAAAAAAATCAAAACCAGAATTGGAGTCAGGTCTGACTGAACTTTTCTCTCCTAATGTAGCAACACAAAGCAGGGCTGGAGAGTCATGGGGGCTGTGTGGATAGCTTATGTTTTGTTATCTTTGCTGTAGTGATCCAGTTTATGGTAAACAAATGTGATGACCCTAAAGGAACATTAAAACGAAAGTTCTGCTCTCCAAATCTTTACTGGACTGCAGCTTGCTCCTGCAAACGTTGACCTTGATGGGCCGACCCCCTTTACTGACATTACTCAGGCGCATAATGAGAATGAGGTCTTTAGCTGCTCCAGAGAGAACAAGACATGTGCTTTGTCCTATGCTGTCCCGCCGTCCTGGGTGGAGCTTCCTGTAATATTTATCTGTAAAGCCACCTCATTATCCGTCTTCCTTAAAACTCTCCTTTGCCATATTGCCTACAAAAATCTTGACGATGGAGACTGCTGCCTCTTGTGTTGATCAATATTGTTCCATTGTTTTCTTGTACCCCACCCCTCCATTGGCCGCCTGTCTGTATCCATCTGTTGTCTCCTGTCTCAAACTTAGATTGGAAGCTCTTTTGGACAGGCGCCTTCTTTCTGTTCTGTGTTTGTACAGCGCCTAGCACAAAGGTGTCCTGGGTCTGTCTAAGGCTCCTAAGTGCTGTGGTAATACAAATGAATAATATTAATTAATGTTTTATTTAACTAATTAATACCAAGAGAAACCTATCTTTTCAGCACGTAAAAAGGCATTTTCCTTTCCAGTGTCATGGTTCATAATTGTACTAATAGCCCCTAGGTCAGGGATAGTCAGTAGGTGGACCATGGGCCAAATCCAGACTGCCAGATGCTTTTGAACAGACCCCTAAATATTTTTATTTAATTATTACTATTATCATTTTGGGTTTTTTATTATTTTCTCTGGAGTCTGGACCTTGACTATACCTTGACCAAGACATTTGGACTTTGACAAAAATAATTGACTACCCCTGTTCTAGGTCATTTCAGAGAGTTATTGACTTTCTGGGTTTAAGGGCCTGAGTCCAAGAGGTGGGGTTTTGCTTGTTGGCACATAGACATTTAGAGTGTGTCTACACAACAAACCCCCCATCCCCAAAAACGAGTCTCAGAGCCTGGGTCTTCAGCCTTGGGCTCACACTCTAAACATAACGATGTAGATGTTGCGGTTGGAGCTCGGGCTCCGAAAACTTCCCCAGGCGTTAAAGCCGGAGTTCTAGCCTGAGCCCAAATATCTAAACAGCTATTTTGAGCACTGTCGGGTGAGCCCATGTCTGCAGAGCCAGGCTTGGAGACTTGCTGCCGTGGTTTTTTTTGTTTGTTTAGTGTAGACCTACCCTTAGAGCCTTCTCCCAGAGAAGATAAAATCACATCACATTTGCTGATCTTCCTATTCTGTGTACCACTCAGTACACTGCTTAACTCACAGCTGGGCCCATCTTCTAAAGGAAGGATCTCCGTGCATCAGTGCCCCAGACTGGGTAGCACACGTTTCACTAGGGGGCACCAGAGCAGCAGCTGGAAGAGAGAGAGAATTTCTTCAAGGACGATGACTGTACTTCACTGTAATGTATATAAACCTACTGAATATAGTCACCCTTAGGTAAAGCAAAATGATTAGCTACTGCCACATTCTTGGCTAACTTCAGAACTCAACAAAACTGTGTAGGTGAGTGGAGTGGCACTGGAGCTGGTATAATCCCCAGGAGAGACGCATGTGCTGTTTGGCATAAGTGATCAGAACAGGATTTAAAAACAAGCACCGACGTACCTAAATGTCTCAATGTTAAAAATGCTCAGAGCCTTATAAAAGCAAACGGCGCATTGCTCTCTGATTCAAAGAGCATTTCAAATCCTTAATGATCTGCTTGCAGAAAATTCTATATTTTACATTTCTTAATCATTTCCCTGATACCTATGACTAGGTGAGTTAATACATTGAAAGCCTTGGATATATCTGCTTCAGTTGTAATGGCCACCAAACAATCATTACCTAGCTCATCCATTGTTGTGTGTTACAGGACGAAGCACTGGAAATGCCTTGCTTGCCACCACATGAGTGGGGATAAAAATCCTGAATCCTGGTCAAAGTTAGGAGCATCAGTCCTTGACTTTGTTGACTAGTAGAGCTTGTCATCTTGTAAAACTGAGAAGGTATAGTTGGAAGATACATCCTTAAACCTTCACAACTAAGCTTCCCAGAGGCAGCTTTTTTAGAAACTATTTAAGGTCTAGGGGGAAAGCTGAAGTGATGTTTAATCCCCAAACTTTAGATATTCCAGCTGCGATTTTTGACAATGGATCAGGGCTATGTAAAGCTGGCCTGTCAGGAGAAATTGGTCCAAGACACATCATTCCTACAGTTATTGGCTGCCCCAAAACAAATATGTCACTGTCAGGAGCAGCTCAGAAGGACTGCTGTGTGGGAGAAGAAGCCCAGCACAAACAGGATGTGTTGTCTTTGAAGTATCCCATTGAACAGGGTATAGTTACATCTTACGATGATATGGAGAAGATCTGGAAGCATATCTATGAGCATGAATTGGGACTGAAAGCCTCTGAGAGGCCTGTGCTAATGACTGAGACCTCTTTGAACCCAATGGAGAATCGAAAAAAACTGACTCAGCTGATGTTTGAACGGTTTAAGGTGCCTGCTTTCTACCTGTCTGTCCATGCCATATTGTCGCTCTATGCCTCAGCACGCATCACAGGACTGGTCATAGACAGTGGATTTGGTGTTACCCAGACGGTACCAGTCTACGAAGGGTACTACTTACCCCATGCTGTCTGCAGGCTGGAGGTCGCAGGCAGAGAGATCACAGAGTTCCTCGCGAAGCTCCTGGTGGAAAGTGGGCAATGCTTTGAGAGCCTGGCGAAGAAGAAGAGTATCATCGAGGACATCAAGGAGAAGTTGTGCTACGTGGCTCCAGATCCACACAAAGAATTAGCCAAGAGGCCAGAAGAGGTCCTGAAAGAATATAAACTGCCTGATGGGACTCTAGTCAGTATTGGCAGCCCACTCTTTCAAGCACCAGAGATCCTCTTTGCGCCAGGAAGCACGGGTAACGATGCACCAGGCCTTAATAGGATGATTGCTCACAGTGTTTCAAAGTGTGACGTCAATATTCACAACACTCTCTATGGGAACATGGTGCTATCGGGTGGTTCGTCCCTCTTTCATGGGCTGGATGAGAGGATTTTTAAGGGACTAGAACATCAGGTCCCCAAAGGGGTTCCTATAAAGATCATAGCACCCACAGACAGGTGGTTTTCTGCATGGATCGGGGCTTCTGTAATTACTTCCTTGACCAGCTTCAAGCAAATGTGGATCACTGCAGCTGATTACAAGGATTTTGGACCAAACATTGTCCAAAGAAGATGTTTTTAAGAGGACTTAGGTAAAACTAGCCAGCATCCATTCAGGACAGTGGCAGTTCTTGCATTTGCTAGTTAAAATGAAATAATAAAGTCCTTGGACAGAAGTTTGGCTTTTTCTAATTGTATACTTGGCTTCAGAGTCATGGAAATTAGAGATGGAGACCTCTGGTCTGTTCAATTCCATGGCCTTTGCAGCGCTGTTCCCTTGATTAAAGACCTTATCTTCAGTAATACAAAATAATCTGCTAAAATGATTCTTAATGTTAATTTTAAAGCGTTTAAAATAAAGCAGGGTGAGAGTCTACCGCTGGGAAACTGAGGCACAAAGGGATTACAAGTAAGTGACTTGCCCAAGATTTAGATAAAGTCTGTGACAGTGCCAGGAATTGAACCTAGCTCTCCTGCATCTCCATTCTGTGCCTTAACCCTGAGATTGGTTGGTGTGGGTGAGTGTGAGATCATCACCTACAGCAAAGAAAGCTGAGCGAGAGAGCACAATGGATATGAGAAAGATAGAGCATTAGAGAGATCAGGGGACATTGAGATGACCCCAGAAGGGTCTGGGAAGCTGAGATCATACTGAAGGGCAGGAGGGCCCAGTCATAACAGCTGCCATTCTGTGTCAGCCCAATGGTCTATCTAGTTCAGTACCTGCTTCTGACAGAGGCCGGTACCAGAGCTTCAGGCAGCGTGTACCGAACAGGGCATTTTGAAATGATCCACCCTTGTCTCCCCCTCGCACAAATGCTGTGTCAGACGGTCCCGTTGACTTAATAACAATAAATACGAAGGGTACATTAAGAGACACCGCAGGCAGCTCCTAGCCCAGGCAAAAGCAGTTATGGAGCCCCCTTAGCACCCTCCTGACCACGCGCTGCTCTGTGGACTGGAGAGACCCCGGCATAATTTAGACAGCTGGGGATCCCTGGAGGGCTGTATGTAGTAGCTTGGTTCCTGATGTGCCTCCATGTCAATTTATGAGGGGGCCCTCAGAGGTCAGCCTGACAGCTGCCTGCTCAGGGGAATGCTCCGTGACCAGAACTTTAAACGCCCAGGGTAAAACACCCGAGGAGGGGTGAGCATCTCCCCGCAGGTCTTTATTGATATAGTCATCGTTTGTGGGCTTGATCCAAAGCCCCCTGGAGTCAATGAGAGTCTTTCCGTTTAGGCCTTTGCATCAGGCCCCGTGTCTG